CCGTGTATATCTGCGTAGCCGATAAGCTTTCCTTTCTCCGTCCTGGCGGTGAAGTTTATCCGAATTGGCCCGGTAGGCCGGCTTGACGTAGTAATACGCGTCGCAAAAGTACGAGCGTAGGTGCCGTATATACGGCTTCCGCTCGCCCTCGGGCATGTTGAGCCTTGTGGTATACTTCTCGTGAGCACTGATATCTCCCTCGTTGACCCCTCGAGGGCAGTAGGTTACCCACGTAAACCACAGACTGCATGACAAATGGGAACAGCTTCTCTGGCACCTTGTAGGCCAGCATGATAGCCCTGGTGCGGTTAAGCGTAGTCCTCGCGGCCCTCTCCACCTTTCCATTCATCCACGGTGAGTGAGGCACGGTCTTGAGGATGGTGATGCCCTCCTGGTCGGCCCAGGCGGCCATGCGGCTGTCGTCAAAGGTCCCAGAGCCCTGGGCAAATTCCGTACCGCCGTTAAGGCCGATGATGCTGATCTTATGCCCGGTTTGGCGCGCGATCTTCGTCTCGAAATCCTTGACCTTATCGAATACCTGCTTTTTCTCCACTGTGAAGTTAATCCACTTGTAGCCACTCCACATATCTACGTATTGGATAGAGTACTTGTAACCCAGATATCTAGGGTTCTTGTGGGTGACGACGTCGATACGGATGAAGTCGAACGGGTTGTTGGTCTGCGAAGGGGTCGATGAGCCTAATTGATCTGTTATCTTTGCCATCACGTAGGGCTCGCAGAAAAAGTTATTACCGACGAGCTTAATACCCGCCTGCGTACAAGCCTTGTAAATATCGTCTTTGTTGGCGTGCATTAGGCGGCGATGTATTACCCGGTAGTTGATAGATGCTATCACGGCCTTGATGGGAGTCTTCGCTAGGGATACTTTGCTGAAATTGGCGCCGGGCGTCGTATTCATCTGGTATATGTTGTTATTCCTGGTCAACTCACACACCACCTGCTTAGTACCTCTAAGGACCAGGTTGTGGCTCTCCTGGTCCCAGAAGATACCTTTATCGAGTAGCTTGCCCGCCGATATTAAATTGACGGGCGCCTGTAGGTGGTATACCGCTTCCTTGAGCTCCAGGGTAATAGCCTGGCCACTTGAAAGGGTAGATTGCAGCGCTGCGGCACCCTGGTAGCTGCACTTTGTGATATCTCTTGACGACGAAAGGAACCTCTTTTCCTTCCCCTTAGGTAGTAAGTGGAGCTCGGTGAACCACTTCAGTTTATTGAATACGAAATCCGCGCATCCGGAGTCGTAGTACACGTGGTCTTTGAATGCCTCGACGGCCTGTTGGACTTCAGGGGTATCTACTGAGGAGAGTGCTGCCTCTGGGGGCCGAGACGAAAATCCGATTGGTTATCGTCATGGTAGGTGGGGAGCGATATATTGGCGAAGTTGTTGGACAGCATCAGGGTACTGTGGGCAGGTCGGTCCCTCGAAGACCCAGTATTGGTGACGCCACCAGTATGGCCTTGAAGAGTCCCTGTTGACGAGCCAGTACTCTGCCGCCTCTCTTGCCTATCCGCTTGTGCCTTTTCCCTGTGCTCCCAATCCTTTGGAGCCTTGTCAGGGTCACACCACCAACAGGCCTTGCCCTTCGGGTGGTGACGACCACAGCCCATGCAGTGCTGGTTGCCTTTCCTTAAGCCCTTGGTGCATTGGTCGCACTTCTTCGTCGAGGTTGATGATGTGGCAGGTGAGGGTGTAGTCGCGGCCGGGGCCTTGGTGGTCTCGATGGTGATTTTGGAGTGAGCCGGCGTGGTCTCCTCCGTAACGGCCTTGGCGCTATACTCCTGGCAAAGAAGCGACCAGGTCATGGTGCCGTCTTCCATCTTCCTTGCTAGCCGGTCGTACAAATCGGGGTACGCGGTCTTGATGCCGTTCAGGGC